GCCACGGCACTCACTCTAGCCCGGGCAAAAGAGTGAGACTGTCTCAAAAAAAAAAAAAAAAATTAATGTTAACTAAATTTAGTGCCCCTTCAGCTGTAATCAGAGGGTGGTTGGAAAGACCCATGTAATGAATTACGATCTCAACGATCTACATATCTTTTCTTATTGCCTCCCACGTACATAAAATCAGCTGTACTTAGGAGTTAGAAATTTGGTCTTAGGAGACCCATGCTACTTAAATCTGAAATCCTAGTTACTTCACCCATTTGTTTAACACAGCCTTACATAACTCCAGCGATGCGCTTCGTAAATACTGACTCACCATATCCGTCACCGTCCTGTGAAAGCAAGCACTGTATTCGACTCATTCTGTGCTGCCCTGTGTACATTGGGGAGGGTGTTGGCATCTCCCGCAAAGGATGGTGTGTGGGCTTAGGATGGAGGCTGGCCTGTGCTGAGGCACCGTCAACGTCAGGCTCTCATTGTTCCCTTCCTGCGCAGAGCGTCTTAGACTGGTCTCCATTATTACTAATACCATTTTATAAACAAGGAAACCAAGGCTCAAGGAGGTTTCAGTAAACTTAAAGATAGTTATTAAAAGAGAGTCAGAAATGAGCTCATTTAATGCCTTTTCTACTATCTTTTGCTCAGTAAAAGCAGCAAGAGCTTGCCCTGGGATTCCTCCACGTGTCTGGGGCTAAAACATGAGTGCCACTTATAAATCTCAGTGAAGTGGGACTCAGCAAGCTTTGTCTTCCAGGACTGGAAATTCGGCGTTTATTACCGAAGTAACCCAGATTAATGAAATCATGACAACGGTCCGCCTCCATCTCCCTAGGAATTTGCTGTGCATGGAGTTAACAGTGTTTAGTTACTGGAATTTTAGTCCCACCAGACTTATACATTTCTTAGCTTTGAAATCTTATAGTTATTGAATCTGAGACTAGAGATTTCCAATAATATTTTAATATTCCAAATTAATATCTTTTCAGACCAAAATACAGGTGAAAATGGAAAAGCTGTCTTCAACTACCAAGGGAATTTGTGAACTAGAAAATTACCATCATGGGGAGGAGAGTAAACGGCCCCCTCTGTTTCACACGTGGCCCACAACCCATTTCTGTAAGTAGTTCTTTCTCAGGGTAGAGGTTATAAGAGCGTTTAGTATCATCTAGATCTGGTACTTTAAGAAGCTGACAAGGCTTTGAAATTCAATGCAGAAGTATCCATTGGGAGGAAGGGAGGCAGGGACATCTTAAAATAAGCATTTCTTCTTGGCTTTAATTACCTAATCATCAGCAGAGAATATTAAACATAATTAGAGACCCAGGAAGCAAGTTACCATTATTAGCCACCTAAAACCTGTGGGCAGAAGGAATTCCAATCTTTGATGGAGGCAGAAATCTATAATTTTTTTCTTTTTAGGAAGAAAGGTTTTCTTTGTTGTTGCTTTTTTTTTTTTTTTTTTTTTTTTTAATTAAAAAATAAATTGAGGTCACTGAAGCCAACCTCATGGAAGAAGACTCCTGGGAAAAATGAAACTCATTACTTAAATAAACTCTATGAGATACTTCTTAAAGGGTTACTTTTAGCTTTATTGGTTCAAAGAAAGGCTAAGCTGTTTGATGTTGATTCGAGACTTCACTTTTTAAATAAGGGAGAAAAGGGAAAAACCGTCTAGTGGAATGTGTTTATGAAGTATTGTCAGTCTGAAGCGAATCTCCTACTTATAATCACTGCAAGTCACTTAAGAGTTAAGTATAAAAGGTTACATCTGCTTTTTAATTTCATCCTACTTACCATGTTATCTAACTGTACTCATGTGCACCAGCTAGAGTGATAAACACCCATCTCATCCTTCCTTATCTCAGTCCTGTTGCTGATTCTGGTTTTTAATGAGGAGCTTTTAAAAATGTGGTTCATGCCAAGTACTTTCTTGAATTAGCATGAAGGGCAAATGAATGTCTGTTCCAGACGAGGTTTCCTGCAAGCTCGCGGACATGTACAGGAAGGAGCTGCTCCTGAAGCGCACCGTGGCTGAAGAGCTTGCACACTGCTCGGACCACGACCTCACCCTGAGCTACTTGTCCATGTGGCTGCACCAGCCCTACGTGGAGAGTGACAGCACGCTGCACCTGGAGAGCATGCTGCTCGAAACAGGGCACCGAGCTCTGTGACCTCCCAGAGCAGCTTCACTTGGGAGGTCAGTCTCCGTGCTCGGGTCACTGGCTCCTTCCCCAGCCCCCAGGTGGACAGCTTCCTGTGTGGGGCCCAGGGCTGCACCCCAGGATCAGACAGCCACCGACCGTTGCAGGGCCTTCCAGGCTGGAGCCGGTCCCCGGCTCCCGCGGCTTCTCCAGCCACGTTCACGACATTGCGGCCTCCACCTGGTGCCGCCTGCCAGGCAGCCTCGTCTGCACCTGCGGTGAATCTGTCCCCCATGCGTGCTTCTGAGTGAAATAAATGAGTTCCTGGACAGAATGATTTAGTGATCCGGTTTCTGTAAATTAGGTGTACTTTACATATTACATTTGTGTAGAAAATCCCTGGTTTGATATTTTCACTTCATACTTCTCGGTATTGTTGAAATGTTTACGAGACTATATTAGTTTTTGGTAATTACAACTAATGTTTATAATCCCATAGAGTTAACTAAGTAAAGTTTGGCATCATGGAAATGGAAAATATCTAAAAAAAAAAAAATGGCCACTGCTTGCCTACTGAGGATACAACCAGCCAGGTAAATACCTTCCGCGTCACTCTGACACGATTCCTCCAGTCTGGCAAGGTTTGCAGCCATTTCCATGGTAATGCATTCGGCTAGAATAAGGAAAAGGTGGCAGTTTGAAACAGACTGAGGAGGCTGGCCAAAAACTAGGGGGAGGGGACACTGGGGTCCCCAAAGGCCTACTTTAAACTATTGTTTACTGTTGCGTTACTTGTTACGTGTTTTCTTCATCTCTGTTTGCCTTTTTATAAATTCTCTGGGCCCAAATTATTTATATTTCATGGGACTGTGTATAGTGATACTTAGTTTTTTTTTTATTTTTTTTGAGACAGAGTCTTCCTCTGTTGCCCCGGATAGAGTGCAGTGGGGTCACCATAGCTCACTGCAGCATCAAACTCTCCTGGGCTCAAGTGATCCTCCTGCTGCTTTAGTCTCCCGAGTAGCTGGGACTACAGGCGGGTGCCACCACGCCTCGCTGGGTTTTTTTGTTTTTTTTTTTTGTAGAGACCAGGTCTCACCATGCTGGGCTCAAACTCCTAGGTGCAAGAAAGTCTCCCACCTCAGCTTCCCAAAGTGCTGCGATTACAGGCATTAGCCACCATGCCCAGCCTCATTTTAGATTTTTTTTTTATATTTAACTATTAAAATACTACTTACTTATCTAAGTTTATCAAGACTATTTTAACTTTTATAGCCAGGAGGACCTGAGACATCTACTACCTCCAACTCCTGCTGTGTTCTTTTATAAATGAGAAAACAGAGGTCCCTTTTCTTCCTTAGAGAGCAGAACAAAAACAATTAAAATTAAAATTAAAAAAAAACCAGAGGCCCCTAGTCAGGCATGGAGTTGTCTGAGTTATGTGCTACCAAATGGCAGTCCCCAAATTTGCTTTCTTTTAGTCCACCCTGATTTACCGAGAACATAGGTATAGCACGCAGCCTCTATTTTCCTTATTTTTTTGCCAGGCATTTACCTACTATATGCTCAGCCCCATGCTCAGAAGTAGGGACTCAAAAACAAATGAGACATAAAATCCAGTAGAGACTTTTGGACCAGGAAGGCAGGCAGAGTTGTAGTATGACACATGCTATAGTGATCAATTCTACCATTGCTCCCCAGGAAAAGAAATCTAAGAAATTTCATGTTATGTGACAATAGGGTGTAGCGTATAAAATTGAAGTTCTAGGGTCCTAGGAACAAGTGCTTCTGGGGGAAGGAAAGAAAATATGCCAAAACGAAAGGCTGTATGGCAGGGATGTGTTTTGAGTGAAAGTTAGGATTTCTCACTGTGCAACTGAGGTATCGAAAGCATTTAAAAGCAACATTGCTTAGGATTTCGCTGCCTTTGCTGTATTTATGAAAATCTAACTATCACAAAGGTAGACACTTAGATGTCTGGTAGTCTGATACCGCGTGGTCATCCTTGGCAGGAATGGTCTTGTCCTGCTAGGGGCGCCCCTGCTTGCTGAGGAAGCGACTGCTGGCAAGAGCTGCAAAGGCAGTTGGGGACAACACCCCCACCAGCGCCGCTCACCACCAGCCCACCACCAAGAAGACGTCGCACCACGGCCTCCTGCAGCAAGCAGTGTGATGGGGAGGAGCTGAAAAAAGAAAAAACCCTCTTCAGAAGAGGAAACACTGAAGGACTCAGTACCACCAACAGGCCTTCCAGGACATTTCATGTGTTCTTGACGATGCACTCGCCGGACACCCCTCAGCAAGCTGCTCAGGAGCACTAATGGGAAGGATCGATACTGCTAAGGACAAACAAGTAAAAGAGCTAAGTGTTGAACAAAAATAATGAATCCACTGAGCAATTTCTATCTGAAAGAAACAATGAAATAGACTCCTAGTTGAACACAGTGGGTGGATCACACACACTTACCTACTTCACCTCCAGAAATCCTGCCAAATTCTTAGTAAAGGAATATCAAAAGCAAGAAATCCACAAAATCCACATCTCACAACAATCTGCCAATAACATCTGATATGACTAAAGAAAAGAGCAAAGCAGACGTGATTCAGAACCACGGAGGTAGTAGCTAAAAGGGAGGAAAGCGGTTGCTTCAGTGGAGGGGACGGGGTGCTGACTGAGGTCGCGCCTGCTGTTGCTCACCACAGGCCTTTGCTGCCGTCTGAGGTTTTACACGATGTGCATATTATTCCCCAGGTGAAAATAAAAATTTATTTTTTTAAATGTGCCTAAGAGGACATTAAATATCCACTCTGCCATGGCCCCTTCTCTCCTGCTGGTTCAGCTCGCCCCACTCCTGTGCCACCTGGGGGGTTCTGGGGCTGCAGTGCCAGAGGTGCCCAACCAGGGCTGCCTGACCGGAGCTGCCCCACCGCCGTGTTTTCCAGGGAACACAGAAGAAGGGATTTCCTGTCATCACATTCAGTAATAATTAATGATGACTGAACATAGACGAGGTGCCGGGTCTCAAGACAAATGCTGAAAATGTGTCAGTGAAGCCCCTCACCAGCCACCCGAGCAGGAGTCACTTGGGAGGTCCTTGTCCCCAGGTCTGTGCTCTAATGCCTCTTCCCTCCTGCTCCTAGTCTGAGTATTTGAAATTACAAGCACTCTGTATACAAAACAAAGTTCTTCATGGGAAAAGGAAATTTCTGTTTATTCTGTCATAATAGAGCTATGTCTACTGATAGACATAGCTGTGCCATGCATCTCTGTACGTACTTGGGAACTCTGCAAAGGCCAGCCCTGAAGATGAGGCACAGGGCACCCCAAGAGCAGAGCCCAGAGTCCTGCTCACTGCCACTGATCCCGTGCCTGGCACACAGCAGCACCCAGCGGGCACACGGCCAGTCAGTGAGGACACTGCTTCAGAGCCTCCAGTGTTTTCAACTCTGTGCCGTGGAATGAGGGTAGTTTTTTTTTTTAACTACAGTTAAATTTACTATCCATTCATAGAAGCATGTACGCAGTGGTGAAATTAAGACATTGGGATATTCAATAGAGTAGTGTCCTATAGGTACAAAACAAATGTACGTTTAACAGGGCCTTGTCCAAACCACGGCTTCTTGTGTTAGTTGCCTGACGGGTTATGAATAGTCCGCAAGAAGGCTCTGTCCATCTCCAGGATCCCAGGAGGGAACACATGGTGTTTTCATGGGACTCTGGGCTCCTGAAAAGGGTCCTTGAGTCTACAGGATACAACCACAGCCTGACCTGATAGCGTGACTCTCCTAGGCAGCTGCGGCCCACTCATCTGCCAGCTGTTGCTGTCCTGCTGAGAACACGCCCTTCTGTTCCTACTGAACCTGCCTCAAGATCAAGTGAGCGAGTACAGCTGCCGCCCAGTCGCTGAAACGCTGCCCTGAGAACACAGCCCATCCCTCCATGGCAGGTGCCGGAAGGAGCATAGAACCAGGGCGCTGTGCAGCCTGAGACCCCAGCTCTGTCCCTGAACGCAGCCTTTTTTTTTTTTTTTTTTT